GACTTTGGGGAGAGCGCCTTGTTAATGAGGATAAATAGATTCACACCTGAACGGGATCCTGCCACAACGTGCACTCTGGGAACCCCGGGCCAACGTGGACCCCAAATATGATGACAGCATTTCATTATAATATTATATTATAGTGGATGTTTTCAGACAATAGAACGTGCTGCTGTCCATCACTCAGTTTCTCTTTTCTTTATCCTTTGTTTGGCCTATTTCAGATGCGTTAAAGGTCCTATATTACACAAAATTCACTCTTTTTTTTAGCCATGTTATAATGTTGTTTCCTCATCAAAAACATACCTGAAGTTGTGTTTATTACCTCCGCCAAGGAGGTTATGTTTTTGCCGGCGTTTGTCTGTTTGTCTGTTTGTTTGTTTGTTTGTTTGTCTGTTAGCAACATAACTCAAAAAGTTATGGACCGATTTTGATGAAATTTTCAGGATTTGTTGGAAATGTGAAAAGGAAGAACTGATTTCATTTTGGGGGTGATCCGGAAGAAATCCTGGATTCTGGATCACTTTGAAATTTTAGTTAACATTGTGGTAAATGGGGCCAAAAATTTTGTTTCTCAATATCTCGGTTAATTATTGACCAAACCCCATGAAATTTGACTCAGGGATGGACAATGGGATCCTCTTTCATATTCCAAAGGCTGATCCGGATCTGATCCAGAAGACTGATTTTATCGCAATTTATATAAAAAATGGGGGTAGTCCTTGGCGGAGGTCTGCGCTCTCTGAGTGCTTTTCTAGTTTTGTATTTTTATTCGCACATGTTTGAGTAATCCTTTATTATTAGTCTGTCTACATCTCTAAAGCTCAAAATGCTCTGTTACATTTTGTGATGTCATAAAGCAGAGGTTTACAAGTTAACATTTATGCTTTACCTTTAGTTTAGTAGAGATTGGTAACTCAAAGGCTGAAATTATCCAAATGATTCTAGTGAAGGTGTATGGCAGGCAGTGTTGAGGAGTAACAGATTACATGTACCAGAGTCACGTAATCAGAGTACAAATTATGAGTAACTGTATTCAGTTACAGTTACTGTTTCAATGAGTGGTAATTGGATTACAGTTACTTTGTTGGAATAAATGGATTACACGGCAGTATTTTCCTGTTTTCACATTTTGGACTAATTCAGGACTAAACCAGGACTAAAACAGGACTAAAACAGGATTTAACAGGACTAAACCATGCTACATGGACGTGTCTCCTCATCTTCTTATATTATAATATTTTTAATATTTTTATATTTTATAATATTTTAATACGGTTAAGTAAAGACTGGACTTTTTTATTGTCACTTATCAGACAAAACATCTTATGTTACGATATCCTCGTCTTTTCTTCTCTACAGCAAATCAAGTAATCCAAAGTATTCAGTTTACGTTACTCACGTTAAGTAATTTAATGGATTACATTACAAACTACATTCTGGGGTATGTAATCTGTAATCTGTAGGGGAATACATTTTAAAAGTAACCTTCCCAACACTGATGGCAGGGGTCTTCAAACTTTTTTCTCCGGTGAGCTCCCTTTACAAAAAGAAAATGCCAAAGAGTTACTTGAGATGGTTGGTATAAATAAAATTGTGAAAAGAGTGTACGGTGCAACATAATCTGAGGGACTTCTGACACTTCATTTTTTTGCTTTGTCATTTTCTGTATTTTGGCTAAACAAATGATAATTTCTGCTCCTCTTTACTGTTGGCAGGGATCTGATTAGTCAAAAAATTGTGATAGTCCTGGTTTAGACCTGATGTACTCCTGGTTTAGTCAAATTTAGTCCTGGTTTGGATGAAATTGGTCAAAAGCAGGGACACCAGGGACATTTCTTGTATAAAACTGGGACAAATCACTGGTTTTGGATAAATCTGCTGGGACAGGGGACACAGGGCTCAAAACTGGGACTGTCCCGGGTAAACAGGGACATCTGGTCACCCTATTTAGAGGTCACAAGAAACTGAGCATATGAAAGCCTTAGATGGAGAACAGCTAGATATACTTATAAAACATAAACCTTTATCCAAACCTTTGTCTTGGTGTATGGAGTTTAAAAACACAGTGGAGCACTTCCTGTATTACCACATCCACATGACATCACAACCAAAACTTGCAGGATTTGTGAGTTAAACATACAAATGGACCAAAACATAACTCTAGGCATGTCACTGATGAGGAAACAACATTATAACATAGATCAGAAAATTGCATAATATAAGCCTTTTAAAACTAAGAACCAAAACAAGCATGGTCATAATTCAGATGGCCAAGTAAAAGTGAACTAGACAAGGACTAAACCAGGCCTAGAACAGGACCAAACCAAGAAACCGGGATCAGACCAGGACAAGAACAAAAGCAGCAAGTTACAGCCAGGTCCATTATAGGCCTACCCTTGTATAACACCGCTGACATTTATTCAAGCGCCTCATCACAGGATCTGCAGATTCAACAGACCTATTCCTAGGTTTTGGCTTCTTGTTACTGGTGCCATTTTGGGGATGTTTGACCATTAAAAATACAGAAAATTGTGGTTTGAATAGGCTTGTCAGATTTCTCCCCCATCACTCTTAAATCCATGGATAGAATGATCTGACGTCATCTGAGACTATAAGCAATAATGCAATGGTCACTACATAAAGGGCTCATATTCTCATTTCTGATCTATGTTGTAAGGTTTTCTCATCAAAAACATACCTGCTGTTTTGTTTTGTTTCATTTTGTCTCATTCATGCTGTGGCCCAAAGCAAGAAAAATGATCTGACAAAGGCTTTTTTGCCAGAAACATTATTTGAAAATAAAGAAAAAAAGCTTTTGGACGCATTTTTTCACTTTTATTTTGACTGTTCCTTGCATTTACACCTCTACAAGAACAGCATTTTCTGTTTTATTTCATCAATCCTGTGTATTTAGGCAAATCTATACACTTTCACTAGAATAATTTGGACGATTTCATCCCTGGAATTACCAATCTCTAGTGAACCAAATATAAAAGGTATAGCTGTTAACCTGAAACCTACCGCTTCATGACATCACAAGGTGGAGCAGAGCATTTTGAGCTTTGGAAAGTAGGCAGACAAATATCAAAGGGTTGCTCAAACCTGCGTGAATGAAACAGAACAGCAGAACAGGTATGTTTTTGACAAGATAACAACATTCTAACATGGCTTAACCTCACAAGAGTCACCTTTGTGTAATATAAGACCTTTAAAGGTAGGTCCCCCTCTATACTTGCTTCTTCTAGCCCAAACAAAACGTGTGCAGACCGGGTGGACTTATTAGCCAGCGCGGTCTATTAGCGCCAGGAGGCCAAAAACAAAGAGCACTATGTCAAACCAATTATCCCACTGTTTACCTCTTATGGCTTCCAGTCTGCCTACAAAACGCACCTAATCCTGCGGAGAGGGGAGGGAGGAGAAAGCGCGGGACACAGGCTGAAATAAGAAAGAAAAATTGGGGTTCAGACAACAGCTGGTCCACGGGCCAAAGTGTGCGTAATTGCGTGCGTGCTTGTGTCCGTGTCTGTGTGCGTGCGCGCGTGTTTGTGTGTGCGCGCGCTCCATCCATCTGTGCGTCGCTGCCCTGTGCCGGTCTGCGTGGTCTGCTCGTGACAGCTCCAGCACACACCAGTGGTCGGACGAAAGGGTACAATTCTCTGGGGAGAGGGGGGTTGGACGCGCGAGGCTGCCTGGCGAGAGATCATTTACATAGGAGCAGGACGGAGCAGCGGCACCGGGGACCCTTCTGTGTTTAAACAGAGACAGACAAAAAAAAAAAAAAAAAAAGAGAGAGAGAGAGAGGTTTGGAAGTGAGCAGTAAGGACATCTAGTGGTGACTGCTGGTGCTTGCAGCTGGTTTTCAGATACGAGGTAAACAGGGAGTCCTCAAAATAACATGGCATGAAGTGGTCCTATATTACACAAAATTGACTCTTGTGAGTTACTTAATCAAAAACGTACCCAGGGTTGTATTTTGTTTCATTCACTCTATTCACTTCCCCTTGTGATGTCATGTACTGGAAGCTTTCAAGTTAACAGCTGCCTTTTACCTTTAATTCACTTGACGTTGGCAGTTCCAGCGCTGAGATTATCCAAATGTGAAGGTGTATGGAGTTTAAAAACACCGTGGAGCACTTCCTGTATTACCACATGACATCACAAGGTGGAGCAGGGCGTTTTCTTTATGAGAGAAGAGCTCAGCCAACATAAATATGCAGGGTTTGTGTGTTAAACGTAAGTGAATGAAACAAAACACAACTCCAGGTCTGTTTGTGATGAAAAAAACATTATAATAGATCAGAAAATAATATAGACCCTTTAACACTCCTGAATTACGATCAAACACATGTCCCAGACTAAAAAACATAATCAAAAGCGTCATGGCAACTCTGAAGACAATTAGTGGACTCTTGATACTTTGACCTCAGAAACATGACATTATGTTCTGCACCTCTTCAACTGCTCTTGTCTGATAATTATCAACCCTTTGGTATTACAAGAAGAGGGTCATGTCATGGGGTTGAGGTTGGCCTTCACATAAAACTCCTTTAGGATATTAGTAACACTAGATGCAAGATATACAATATAATTATATGTTCTTTTTGATAATAGCTAACACTAGTTGTATGAAAATTCTGTTACAGTGTAGTACTGGTTTATTCTTGCACTTAGTTGGGCATTAACTTGGGTGTTGTTGCCACAGTAACTTCTGAAATCTTAATCCTGGTTTTGTCCTGGCCTTATCTAATGTTGGTTAATTTCTATTCCAGCCATGTTAAAGGTGGACTATTTAACTTTTCCTGTTCGTCTCAGCCCCCGTTTTATGGTTATTATATTTAACATTACATTATATTTGATTTTCTTAACAGATCTCTTTTATTAGTCCTGAAATAGGAGATGAATACATTTTTCAGACTAAAAAATGCTAACCAAATAGAATTTTTAAGATTGTACTAAGAGAGAAAGTTTTTGAGAATCGCTGTACAGAAGACAGTTAATGCATGTCAATAATGATCTTTAATGTCAATATATACATAACCTGAAAGAAAAATAGAATCTTAAAAATCAAATGAAATAAATACATTATCATACAATTTCCACAATGTCTTTTTGAAGAGAATCCATGGAAATGTCTTTTATATATATATACATACATATATATATATTTATAAATCAGCTTCTCTGGTTCAAAGGGGTGCGTCCTGCCCCCCTGCGAAGACCCTATAGCGCCCCCACGTGCTCTTCATTGCAAACAGCTTCAATACTTCACATTAGCGCCATTTCAGCACTTTATTTTTTTTAAGCTTTGTCCATCTGCAGCAATCACATTCAGTACACTGTAACATCACACGTGAACATGACGGGGAATTTTAAAGAATGATGCGGTCACCTGCATGCATCTACACCAATCAGGCAAAAGATTATGACCACCAACTTAACATACATTATAATAATAAAACTAACTAACAATCTCTGTATTCTGATGTAATTCTATTTTATCAGTTTATTTCACCTGAATCACCTGACCCAGTTTTGCTTTTTTTTTTTTTTTTTTTTATCTTAAAGGTGCACTGTGTAACGTTTCTGGTGTAAGATCTGCCGCCTGCTTGTCTCCATGGAGATGTAATTGCGTTGAATGTTATACAATATGGAAATAAACTTGGTTAATCACAATGGAGACAAGTTACTGGTAAGATCTATGGAGAAGCAAGCCTGCACATAAGAAGAATTAAAGTTTATCAAGGTATATTTGAGCTATAAAACACCTGTATTTGAATACATGCACGGCAGATAAGTTTAATCCCATACTGTGGACCATTCCGTGCAAAAATAAAATAAAATAAAATAACTTCACATATCTTCATGGAGACAAGCAAGTAGCCAGTCTTCCACGTCTGAAGTTACGTAGTGCACCTTTAATTGCAAATTTAAGACCTCAGTTGGGTATATGTAATGTTATATTTTGTAATTTTATGATTTCATGTTAGAGGGAAAAAAAAAAAAAAAAGCCTACAGTTTTTCAGTTTGTCACTCCTGAAAATCAGCATTTTAAATCCTTTTGTGTTTTTTCAGACTATCTTATGTCTGTGTATTGTGTCACCATGGTAACCACCTCCAGAGTATCAACTACTACAAACTACTACAGGGACATTCATTTCTCTGCAAAAGATATTACATTACCTATTAACTTTTTTGCAGACTGACAAAATTCAAGTATTCAAGTATCCAAGTTCGTCCTACTTGTTACGACACAGCAACTTTGAAACGTTAACTTGTGTCTGATATATACTGTGCAAATTTAAAATAACAAAATAACACTGTTTTTTCATTTGTCAGTGGTCTTAACATTATGCTTGATTGGTGAATGAAACAGAAGTGCTGGTCGATGTATTTTTTTGATCATGGGGGACTTTTTTTTTTTCTTCTTTTAGGCAAAACTCTATAATCTTCTATTAAAAGCCCTCAGAAAATAAACAGTCATATTTCCCCCCTCTTAAGTCAATACACCACCCTCCCAGCACTCTCCCACTTACATCAAAAAAGCGAGCAAAGCAACAAAAAAAAACAAAAAAACAAACAAAACAAAAAAAGCAATGACGTACACATAGAAAGAGGGGAAAAAAAAAAAAAAAAAAGAAATATTAAGCTTAGATACATCGATGAAGAGCAGTGGGGGGTCTCAGGGGGGTCCACAGTTTGTTGAAGCAGCTTTGAATCAGCCAATCACAGTGAAGGAAAAACATCAGCTGGTGCGTATCTTCCCCCGGCCAGAGGAAGAGAGGGCGAGAAGGCGAGGAGGCCAAGTGCATATGAGAGCTGTGGAAATAAACTATAATAAGCCCGACATCAATACATTAAAACATGAGAAACGCCATTGGAGTCAGTAGTGTAGCTCAAAGTGATATGCGGACAAGATAAATAAGGATAAAACATTCAAGCATGTGTTTCAGTGTGATGGGATATTTAGAATGAATATGGAATCAATGTTCAGTCACTAATAAAATATTCAGATTTTAAAATATCTTTTGAAAACTTATAAAAAAATATTCATATACGTACTTAGGAGTTCAAGTCACAAATAAATTTATTGTAGGGTCAGTTTCAGTTCTGTTTTAGTCCTGGTTTGATGGAGGTTAAAACTGAAATTAGCACCAACATGTAGAAATGAGTTAGACCTAGCTTTGACCTGGTTTTAGTCCTGGTTTAGTACTGGTTTAGTAATACTAAGACCACGTTTAATACTAGCTTTGACCTGGTTTAGTCATGGTTTAGTCCTAGTCAGTCACATTAGAACTTGGTTTAATCTTAGCTTTGACCTGGTTTAGACCTGGTTTAAACCTGGTTTAGACCTGTCTTAAATCTGGTTTTAATTCTGATTTAGTTCCGGTTTAGAAATGGTTCAGTTCCAGTTTAATCATGTTAAGACCTGGCTTAGTCCTAGCTTTGACCTGGTTTAACTGTGGTTTGGACTTGCTTTAGTCCTGATTTAGACACATTTTTGAACTGGTTTAGTCCTAGCTTTGACCTGGTTTAGTTTTGGTTTAGCCCTGGTTTAGTCTTCGTCTCTTTAGTCTAGATTTGATCGCAATTTAAATCCTGGTTTAAGACCTGTTTTTGAACCTAGTCGAGTCCCATTTTAGACCTGAATTACAATAAAGTATTTTTTAAGCCCTGTTTCACTCACTGTATAATGTTAAATACCCGTTGCCATTAAAATGAACACATGCTTGAAACATTTTCGTCTATTACTCTAATGTATCTTTGAACCACACTACCAAAACACAATTCACTTTCCCCTTTAATACATTCTAATTTACTGATGTGGGGTTTGCACACGTCTCTCTCCGCAGCAGTAACAGATATGTCATAATCAGCTGACTTCTTCATGATGCAACCTCGTCCAGTGTGAATGCATATGAAGGGCGTGTCCAAAAACAATAATAATAAATACGTTAAAAAAATACTCAGGGAGACAGTATTTTGTATAAGTGCGACTGGCCAGAGCTCGTGTAGATCTGCTTAGTCCTGTTGAGATTCTGAGGTTGTAGTTTTTAGAGTTTTTATGGGGGACTACATGTCGGTGGAGGTGAGTTTCTTCATGCTTCGGCGTTGAGCTAAACTGGACGCCGCCACTGGCTCCAACACGGGCTGGCTGGTCTTCTGGCTCAGAGCAGAGTAAGTGGCAGCCATTGCTCCCTGAACACAAAACATATGCACAGATGAATATAAGAGACACATTAAGTAAGTGAAGGCTTTTACTTACTTAAAAGGTGTTTCTCTGTCATTGCTCTGCCTGGAATGTTCCACAGTATGACAAACAGCTTTACTTTACCTTTATTCAATTACCGTATTTTCCAGGCTATTAGGCGCTCTGGATTATAAGACGCACTGTCATTAAATGGTCTATTTTTGAACTTTTTTCACAAATAAACCGCACCGGACTTTAAAGGAAACACAACAGTTAGATGGGGCAGTCGGACTTTGTTTGGCGCGTTCACGGTGACCCTGGGTTTTGTTCAGTTGTGGCGTGTAGGGAGGGTGCTGTCTGGGACCTCTGGATTGTTGGCGTGTTCGCAGTGACTCAGTTGTTCAGTTGTGGCTCAGAGTGGCACATCGCACATCTTTCCTCTGTTCCACTCCTTGTCCATGTGGAGTGATGAGGGTGACTGCGGGTGTGCTTCGCTACGCGGTCGCCGTCTGCTCCGTGCGTGTTTGCGGCTTTGTAGTTTACTGAAGTCGAGCTGGGACATCTGAGTGGATTCGTGTATAGGGCGCTCTGGCTAGTGGGGCGCGCGTCGGTTAGAGGCTTAAGAGCACATCTAATAGCCCGGAAAATAAGGTACAGGTGGTTTTACAGCTCAAAAATACCTACCTAATGTTCATTCTGACTGTGAGTGGGGCTGTCTCTTCACAGATCTGACCTGTAACTTGGTTGTTTGGTCTTCATGAAGATAAAAAGGTTTAATATCATACTGTGAAACATTCCAGACAAAGAAAAAACATCTCAACGGAGAGAAAACAAAAAAAAAAACTTGCAGAAAAGCAGCACTCTAGCAGAACAGTTACACAATGCACCTTTAATTACTTAAATGTTACTTGAAAAACATTTGCAGCTGTCTAATGTTATTTCTTGCTTTCCCAATGCATTCCTAATTATTCACTACGATGAGTTTATAAACGCTTTTTACAACTTTCAAAGAACAGAGCGGAGTTAGCTGTCACAATAATGTTCATTTCAGTTCAATCATTTTTCAAAATTTGTTTTGTTCATTTAAGATTCATATAAAATAATGATGTTACATACATACATGTGAATGGCAAGGAGGAGACAGAAGCTTGTAGTATCTGCCTCCTTTTCACACACACACACAAAAAAAACATTAAATGGTTCCACAATTAATCTGTAACAGCTAAATTTATAAGCTACTTATTTCAGTGAAAACACACCATATTAAGTGCTCATTAAAACAGTTACGCTGCCATCTCTAATTTTTTTACATATCATATTTGACATTTCTTTTTTTTTTTTGAAGATTCTGATTCAATTCAACTTGCTATGAATGCAATGCCTACAGTATGAAATTACTTCAGATTCTGTTTCAGATAAAACAAAGGTAGAGTAAATGTGAAGGCGCTGCCCTCTTGTGGTGGTTTGAGGTAGTGTCCTTAATAATAATAAAGTGCCTATAAGCCCATCTCACCTTGACTAAATGCGGTGCGTCGTGTCTCGTGAGCTGGAAGTGCGGTAGTGTGTCTCTGCAGGTGATCCAGGAATGTTTGAGCACCTGCTCGGCTGTGTACCGCTGATGGGGGTCCACGTGCAGCATGTGAGACAGGAGGTCCTGGGACAAGCAAGGAAATAAGAACTGTTAAAACAAACTTAAACTAGGGCTGTACAATATATTGAAATGAAAATTTAAATATGTTAATAAAAGTAATAATGACTGTTGTCTAAATAATGATTTTACAGCTGCTTTAAGTGAATGTCCTCTGCAAAAACAACATTTCTTGCCTTCTTATAAAACATATTGTTTAGACCTCTACACACATTGTGAAATGCACTGGGTTTTTATTTTCATTTAAAAGTTCATAATTTGTTCTTCTCTCAAATGTTACTGCTTCTGGAGTTGTTTACGATGTGCACTCCAAACAGAATTTTACTTGTTTAAATTTTTATACTGCAAATCTAATTACAATTGCATTTTTTTCCAAAATCCTTTTGTTTTTGTTCCCATTAGAGTCTTACAAATTAAAACATATTGTGCAATATGAACTAGTATGTACCTTTGAAGAGTCTGAGACAGTATCCCAGTTTCCACCCGTCAAAGAAAACTTGCCAGATCCTATTCGGAGTAAGATCTCCTCTGGTGTGTCATTTGGCCCATTTGCAAACGGCGTGTACCTGGTAAAAGAAAACAGGAAAAGTTTAAGAAAAATACTTTGCAGAATAAACTGAGGTTTAATAAAGGGCATAGGAACAGAATATGATTATAGTGACAAGAAGCATCACAATTTAACAATTATTCGTGATGAATGAAACTTAAGAAACAACAGTGAAATCCTAGTTAGTGTAGACAGTCAAACTACTTTCCATTAATTTTTCTATCATTTTTGGAGTATACATGATTAAACTCGGATTAAACCTAGAACTAAATCAATACTAGAATGAAATCAAACCAAGACAAAAATTAGGATTCAAACTGGTCCCCAACCTTGTCCTCATTTAAACATTTTTATAGTGACATTGTACTTCAAGACAGGACACAAGAGATCAGTTAATAATTTTCTTAAAAGACAGAACAGTGGACATATATAGTTATGAACTCTTACCCCGCCAGCATTGTGTACAGTAGAACTCCCAAACTCCATATGTCACAGGCTGCGTCATAACCTTGCCGCATTAGTACCTGCACAAAAATGAGTGCACATGTATTAGGGTTTAAAGCTTAAATATTAAAAATAAATGTAAATATGTTGTGTATTACCTCTGGTGCCACAAAGTTGGCAGTGTAGCAGGGTGTGAGCAGCAGCCCATTTCCTCCTCGGAGCTGTTTGGCAAAACCAAAGTCACAGATTCGTATCGAGTCGGGATTCCCAGAGTCGTCCATGTAAAGGATGTTACTCGGTTTCAAGTCTCTGTGCACCACCTACAAAACACAAGAAAATATAACTTTAAAAAGGTACATTTTGGTCTTCCAGAGTTATAGCAAAATAAAGGTTATTTTTGTCCCACAGGACAGTAAACAGTTCCTATCAACTTTCAGGAAGCTGGAATGCTGTCCTGGAGAAGTCAGACTGCAGATGGTGCTATTCCCCTACCAATTCAGGTAGGAGAATGGCACCAAAATCGTTGTAAAGCTTAAAGCTTTAAGGCATGTCACCATAATATCACGTGACCCTTCTGAAGGCACCTCAAACATGTAAAGGTGTGTGTAAACAACACACTGGTCTGTCAAAAAGAACCTTTATTTGTATACAAAAAATATATTTAGCTTAAATCAATAACAGTATACTGCTCAAATCCAATGATTTCTAACAGTAACATAATTGCTGTTTAATTGTATAAAATATACAGTATGCTGGTTAGGAGCATTTTTAAATATGTAATTTGTGGGAGCCACAGTTTGGCACTCGGGGGGCTCTGCAAGACAATGGGCAATAGTTATTTTATGATGCCAATGTACAGTCCAAGTTGTTTTAGACTATGGGGGAGAATTTTAGACTATTTTAGATTACTCCAGTGTAAAAGTCGTGTTACCCCTTGGCAGTGGAGGTAGTCAACTGTCTTGGTGATGGTGTAGAGCACAGCGCTGGCCTCTCGCTCAGAGAAGAACTTCTGTCTGAGGATTCTGTCAAGCAGCTCTCCGCCCTTCATCAGCTCCGTCACCAGGTAAACGTACCGGCCCTCGTCGTACACCTGAGGGACACAGGGACACAGTAATAGGTAAGCCCCCACGGGAAAAAAAAAAAAAAAAAAGTTTTATTCAACTTATTCCTGAAGTTGCTGTGGGAGCTTTTGGATTGTATTATTTTGCATGGGGCTGCTGATCTCCACAGTAAATAAGTTCTATCTGCACCACAAAGCCATTTAAAATCTCCCAGAAAATCTGTGCAGTGTGACTTGTTGGCGCACATAAATATTGAACATTTTACACAAATGAACCAACTTTATGTCGTATTTAATCAGCAAAACCTTCCTCAAATTCTATTGACTATTGACATGAATGGGATCCCCTGTTTAGGAAGTGCCAAGAAAGCGTGGTTTAGGAGCATTTAGAGACAAAAGTGGGTGGGCAAAATAAGGTGAATATGCACTCTATTTGACATTACTGTGGAATGTTACTTACGTCTTTCAACGTGATGATGTTCGGATGCTGCCCGTATCGCATCAGGATTTCAATCTCCTCCGAGGGGTCTCTTTTACTTTTGTCAATGATCTGTAACAAAAGCATTAATGTAGTATTTATAGACATATATTACATGTATAAAATAATAGAAAACACCATAAAGCAACTTCAGAGATGACGCAAAAGCAATTGCCCTCAGACTATTGAGTCTTATTAAAAACAAGAAAGAAAATGTACAATTTGAGAAAAAGAGAAAACATTTGTCAAGATACTACAGAGTAGTAGGATAGTGCAAGATATTTCAGGGTGCATTCATAATCATCAGTATATTGGGAATAAACTCAGACTAAACCTGGAACTAAATCTGGACTAGACTAGGACTATATCAGGACTAGATTGAAACCAAACCATAACTATATCAGGACTAGATTGAAACCAAACCATATCTCTATTAGGATTCAAACTGGTCCGAAACCTTGTCCTCATTTAAACATTTTCACAGTGATTGTACTTAAGACCACCCTATATGAAGTGTATTACATTGGATATCAGCCATCAACATAGTATTATTCTATGTTAGGGCCACTGGTGTCATCTGATAATTAGAAAATATGCTACATTTCATTACATTACTTTATTAACCAAAGATTAAACACAATTTTAAACAGGCAAGACACTAAGAAAGTGATTACTGCATCTCAACGTCCAATATTATCTCCAACCAGGTTACACAATTGTACTATAAATACTGTGTAATTGGTATAATTATGTTCTGACAGTGAGGTCTTGAGTGTAGTATGTAAATGTAGACATCTCATTAATCATGAGGGGGTCCATATTACTCAGCACGGTTCATTGTAACCTTCCTATTAGCAGACATCTTACATAATAAACGTAATAATAATAAAAGCAGGGGACAAGAGGGGCTAGTGATGCAGCTTAAGCCAGTTTATGTGCAAATATATCACCATGTTAAACATTATAATATCTAATGGAGATAGGGGGGAGGTCAAATTATTATTGTTAACAAGAAGATTTTTGAGTAACACTTTATAATAACTACACATTAATGAGCCTTAATAAAAGATGAACAAAAACTTAAAACTAGTAGTTCATTATGAATTATAAGAAATTATTTAGGCTACTTAATAACTTCACCCTGACTCCTAACCCCTTAAGTAGTTACTAAGCTTGGATTGTGCTTAATAAACTAGACTTCATTAGAAATTAAGTCTTTGTTCATGCTTTATTAAAGTTAAATAAGATATAGTTATTGCTCAAATTCAATTCAGTGGTAAACTTTTCTATTGAGTACTGTTTTTATATTGTTAATAGGGCTATATGTTTTTGTACACTCTGGAAGTTTACGAATCAATTTTAATTTTAAAGTCAGAGCAGGGATTGCGAGTCTTTTAAACAGGGAATGTTCTTTACATACATTTACTCCTATTCCATGTTATTATGTTTTGCAAGTAAAAAAGGCAAGAGTAATTTTTTTCATAATAACCCTTCACAATTTAAATATTTTACAAAATCTCTGTAATGAAGTGAAAATTTTAGTGGTTACCTTCACAGCGTAATCCATGGCAGACACTCTGTGAACACAGCGTTTACAGATCGAGTACGACCCAACTCCTATGTCCTCTTGTAGCTCGTAAAGGTCCGAGAATTTTGCTGAACCTCCGTGCATCTGAAAAACGCATTATAATTTAAATAAAGAAGGAAAAAATTAGTTACATAAGACTTTGAATATGTGGATTTATTATTCCTTGTGCTATGATGGGGTCCTCTATAATCCACTTGCACACAAACTTCATCAAAACTAGGGCTAAACCAGGAACTAAACTACCGTATTTTCCGGGCTATTAGGCGCTCTGGATTATAAGGTGCACTGTCATTAAATGGTCTATTTTCAAACTTTTTTCACAAATAAACCGCACCGGACTTTAAACAAAACACAACAGTTGGATGGGTCAGTGGGATTTTGTTTGGCGTGTTCATGGTGACTCTGGGCTTTGCTCAGTTGTGGCGTGTAGGGAGGGTGCTGTCTGGGACCACTGGATTGTCGGCGTGTTTACAGTGACTCAGTTGTTCAGTTGTGTCTAGAAGTGGCACATTACACTCGCTTTTTCGGTTCGTTCCTCTGTTCCATTCCTCGTCTGCGTGGAGTGATGAGTGTGGCTGTGGGTGTTTTTCGCTGCGCGGTCGCTGTCTGCTCCATGCGTGTTTGCGTGCACTGTGGGTGGTGCGGCTTTGTAGTTTACTGAAGTCGTGCTGGGACACCCGAGTGGATTAGTGTATAGAGTGCTCTGGATTGCGGGGCGTCGTTTTTTGATGGGTTGGAGGCTTAACAGCGTGCCCAATAGCCCGGAAAATATGGTAGACCAGGACTAAGGGTTGGTCTAGTCCAGATGTGGGTCTGGGTTTAGTCTTGGTTTAGCCAAACTGGGCTCAAACCAAGAGCAAACCAGTACCTTTTCATCCACATATTTGCAAAAAAAAAATTATCGGTACTTCAATAAATGATAGAAGTATGAATTTTAGGAGTCAAAATGATGCATAAGTTATAATTACCAGCATTAACTAAATACTAAAAAAAATAAGAGAAAGCTGGTGTCATTAGCATTCCCTGGGGGTGTGATGCTAACTGTAAGCACTGCTCTGTCTGAAGCTTGTTAGACTTAAATCTGAACTTTATTTTAAGACAATCTGAATAGAAAGAATTGATTTAGCTGGAACTACAACAGGTCTAATAACATTACATTCACAAGATAGCCAGCATAAGCCAATCGTTTTTTAATTAGTCACTCTCACCTTTTTGTTCAAAATCAAACACCTAAACAGGACCATGAATGTATTTAACACAGGCTCCTGAAAATGTGCTGTTTAAATTCTGTAGTTTTTTGTTTTTTTGTTTTGTTTTCAGACAATATCAACACTTTCTGGCAGATAGATGCAGTGATGTCATTTACACCTTTACTGCCTTTTCTCTCCAATGTCATAACACCCATTACATATACCATTCAGTCCACTCATCTCACACACTTTACCATAATCACCAGCCTGTTCTATAATAATTATTACATCTGTCCTAATTACTCTGTGCATGAGTGTGTACGGTGTTACCTGGACGATGGGCAGAATGCTAAGCAGTGGTGAGCTCTTGTTCTCGTCCATCGGAGTCGGAGCCACAAAACTGAAGCCTTTGAAGAGCTGGTGAGCGTTTGCACTGGGAGGTATACCTGGGGAGTCTAACATGCACGTGTAGTTTATAACATCACCATATATTCTGACAGATAAGCATATACAATTTCTATCAGCAACAACAAAAAAGGGTGAAATGATGTGGCGAAGAAAGATAAACTCTAAAGTCTAAACAGTATTGATATCATGACAGATATGTGATTGCTTTGCTATGGTTTAATGATTTAAAGGGAATGATCCTTAAAGGTGCACTCTATAACGTTTCTGGTGGAGGGTCCGTCAAATGCTTTTCGCCATGGAGATGTTATAGCTTTGTCTGTGATGTTTCACAAGACAGATTAAACCTTTCTATCTTCATGGAGACCAAACTAGACCAAGTTATAGGTCAGATCTGTGGAGAGGTAACCCCGCTCACAGTCAGAATGCCTGTTTTTCTAGGTATTTTTGAGCTATAAAAACACCTGTAGTTCAGTAAATGTAAGGTAGATCTGTTTAATGTCATACTGCGGAACATTCCAAGCAGAGCAATGACATTTCCATAGAAACCTGCAGGTGACAGAACCCCAACCAAACAGTACACCTTTAATTAATGTAATATTAGTAGGGCTGGGCAAAAATTAAAAAATTTAATCGTGATTAATCGCATGAGTTCGAGCAATTAATCCTGATTAATCGCAATTAATCGCATGTTATACGCAAAACCAATTAATGAATTAAAAAGTAGAGTATAGCGCTCTTTTATTGGAAATGTAAATGAAAGAGCCAAACATTTGTTGTGCAAACAGAATTTCTTTCACAGGGGAACACCTCAGAGCCTTCAAGGTATTCAGGGAAGGCTCAAGAAAAAATATTGAATGGACGTTTGTACTACTAATATATTTATTGAATATTTTTATGCTGTGAGTAATGAACACTACACTAGTAATAATTTCTAGATCAGTGTTATAAACTTGGACTGATATTTCTTAGGAAACAAAGGGTTAATATAATGGAATGGAAATGGACCAATCACATTTTTTCTTCCAATGGTATCTGGGTAAATCAGTTACTCCAGCACTGAACTAAAGAAATAAGCTCAGCTCAGAGCTGGTGTCCGCAGCAGGAGCTAGAGCCCGCGACCAGAGCCCGCGGCCGGAGTCGGAGCCCGCGGCCGAACTCGCGGCCGGAGCCGCGACGGGAGTCGGAGCCTGCGGCCGAACCCGCGGCCGGGCCCGCGGAGGCTCGGGCACGTTGCATCTCACGTGGTCAGAAAAAAGTGAAAAAAGTGTAAAGAAAAGACGTCAAACTTAAAGAAACGCTGGCGGTGGACTTTTTCAAAATAAAAGCCAGTGAGAAACAGACGTTTACAATAAAATAAATAAATAATAAAAACTGCGTTAACGGCGTTAAAATAATTGTCGGCGTTAATGACTTAATTAGTTAACGCAAAGTTAACGCGTTAATGTGCCCGGCCCTAAATATTAGGTTTTCTGTATGTTTTTCCAAGTTAATCCCAAGAATGGAAATTTCAAAATCATAAAGATCTAGAGACATCCAGCGTCCAGCGATAGAGGACACTTCTCAGATGTAGTTACATGTAGATTTTTTACCTTTAGGGGTTTTTGCAGTGAACTCTGGGTCAAAGCAGAAAGTATCATCTGGTTTCCCAGCTGCAGGCTTGAATGGAGGCTGAAGCTCTCTTCTGTACAGTTTCTAGAAAAATCACAAAAATGTTTAACTTCAAATAAAGATAACCAGTTTAATTAGATCTACACAATCTCAGCTCAGACTAAAACATGTATGAACTTAGATTAATTACAGGGAGGTCTACAACAAAACCTCATCTCCTTGGAAACTAATTAGGCCAATAAGAAAGTTGTTAAATTACGAAGGAAGAAACCGGTTTAACCTATGGCATAAAGCTGAACTGAAATGCTTTTTTTTCCATATGTGTGGTATAATTTTCATTGCAAAGAAAATATAAATGACTTAATCCAACTAAAATGGAGTAACATGCAATCTCCACAAGGACCTCACTTAGTCTGGGAACCTTGTCACTTTAAAGGTCCATATTACGCTATTTTATGATCTTTTTTATAATGATGTTTCCTCATCACACATGCTTTGTTCACGCATTTAACACAAACCCTGCATATTTAGGTGGAGTTCTTGTCTCAAACAGAAAACAGAGAAACCCTGCGATGTCATACTGTAATACAGGAAGTGCTCTAACTATGTTTTTAAACTCCATATAATTTCACTAGAATCAGTTGTAGAATTTTTTTTTTTTTTTGCCAATCTCTACAAAATAAAAGGTAAAATGTAGCTGCTAACTTGAAAGCTACCACTACATAACACCACAGCATCTTGAGCTTTGGAGATGTAGACAGATGTTGGGAAGGTTACTTTTAAAATGTATTCCCCTACAGATTACAGATTACATACCCCAGAATGCAGTTTGTAACGTAATCCATTAAATTACTTAAAGTGAGTAACGTAATCTGAATACTTTGGATTACTTAATTTGCTGTAGAGAAGCAAAGACTAGGATATCGTAAGTCTGCTAAAAGAAAATAAAAAGCCCAGACGTCGCCGTATTAAAAATATTATTGATAGAAGAGGAGGAGACACGGTCCGCAGAGCATGATTTAGTCTTGTTAAATCATGTTTTAGTCCTGGTTTAGTCCTGGTTTTAGATCTAGTTTAGAGCTGGTTTTAGTCATGGTTTAGTCCTGGTTTAGTCCTGGTTTAGTCCTGGTTTAGTCCTGGTTTAGTCCTGGTTTAGATCTAGTTCAGATCTAGTTCAGATCTGGTTTACTTTCCGGCAATAAGTGGAATTAGAGAAAAAAAAAAAAGGGGGGATATAGCCCAAAATGTGAAAACAAGAAAACAGGAAAATACCACCCTGTAATCCATTTATCTCAACAAACTAACTGTAATCCAATTACCACTTACTGAAACAGTAACTGTAATTAAATTACTCATAATTTTACTCTGATTACATAACTCCGGTACATGTAATCTGCAGACTAATAATGCAGAATTACTCAAACGTGTGAATGAAACAAAATGCAACTCCAGGTATGTTTTTGATGAAGTAACAATATTTTAAAATGGCTAAAAGCTCGAAAGTGTCAATTCTGTGTAATAGGGACCTGTAAACCTAACATATTTTATAACAATAGGAGATCCCATCACATTATTAAGATGTTCATTGTACAGAACATATGTGAGAGAGTGAGAGGGTCTTTTCCCAGATTAACTCTCTCCCACCCTTTACCAGCGCAGTCATGCCAACTGCCTCCTACGGCCTCTTAAACACTGGCACGCAGAGATCTGGCCACGTGCCCAGGCGGACCACGCACAGAACTGCCATGCCCCCAACTTGATGCCCACAAGCCAATGCAGCCAAAACGATTCTGAGGTGTGAATCGTCAGCACAAGAGGGAGAGTTACATGCTATCACGCTGTGACCAATAAAAGCGGGAAAGAGGGAAAAAGACAGAGAGTGAGAAGGAGATAGAGAAAGGCACACAGAGAAAAAAAGAGACACACAAACACAGAAAGAAAGAGACAGACAGAGAGAAAGAGACAGAGAGGGAGAGATAGAGAAAAAAGAGAGAGACAGAGAGAGTGAAAGAGAGAGGAGATAAAAGGGTCTAGAATTGGATGATGTCATAATCTCAAACAGTGGGCAAGGGCCTGTTATAACGCTATGAGAGATTTACCGTTTTTGAAAGAAATATCAAGATTTATGATCCACAACTGTTGAACCTGATTATTTGTTGTGAATTGGCTCCACAAACTGTCACATTAATCTTAGGGTTTAAAGTCCTTCCAACTGACAACTATCACGTCTTTGGGGCTGAATAATGGCACCACTTTCTAAAGCTGTTATGAATAAATGATTTCACTTTTGTTTATTTATGCTGACAAAGAAGACATTGAACTCTGTTCCAGTTTCTATTTCATGTGGTTAGCAACAGTAATTACAGGGATTTTCACCATAAACCAGGTCAACAAATCTGCATCATAGAATTCTGACAGGATAAATTACAGTTTTACACCAGCGAAGGGCCAATTTGTGAAGAAAAACTAAAAAATATGTTGAAAATTACAGAAGCAGAGAATTCTAATTTAGGAAGCATTTTACCCAAAAGCTCAGCATTATTTATACGCAAGAAACATGTTTTTGTTACACTTAAAAACATAATTTCAACAAAATAGAAGTGTTTTCTTATACTTTTATTTGTCAAATATTAATTTCTGTGTAAATTAGATGAGTTTTGGCCCAGTGTGCAACATGGTTGCTAGGTAACAGTTACAGAATTCCCGAGTGTGACGTCATGATTTCCAAATCATGAAGTAAAATTTGAAACCTAAAAAAATTCCCGAAATAGGAAAAAAGTTTTTCTTTCTTTCTTTTTTTTTATGTTTTAGTCAAATGAGTAGTCACTTTAAACTATAGGGATTCGAGAATGCCATGTTCTAGTGTATGTTTTTTGTTACTTACGTTCCAGTCGATGGTGGAGAAGAAAGCGTGCCGTTTGATCTCCTCCACGCCATCTGGACCAGCCCCTAAACAAAACAACACGGAGTTAACCCGGTGAGTTTTGGTTTATTGTTTCACAGAGATCAACACTTTTGCATGTGTCAGTCTTCACAGTGTGCTGTGAGTGAATGCCAAAATGTGAAGTCATACAGAGCCACAACAAGTTGCTGAGAGACAGACAATAGGCCACACTGACAGTTACAGCACTACTCAAAAGACTTATAAACATCCAAGCCTTTTAGGATATTAAAAAAAAAAAAAAAAAGAAAAACTTTTTGAATTGCACCATCACACTGTATTAAAGGTGCATTGTGTAACTTCTGGTGGAGGGTTCATCACTCACTTCTCTACATAAATATGTTTTAATGTGCCTGGAATGTTTCACAGTATGGCATTAAAATCTACATGGAGAAAACAGGTGATGCCACCTGGCCAAGTTACATGTCGAATCTGTGGAGACGCAAACCCATCCAGAGTAAAAAATTATGTTTCTGAGCAATAGAAAAACCTCTGATGATACATGCAAGATGAATTCAATGCCATACTGTACATAGTGTAACTTTAAAATATATTCATTAAATATAACTATAGAATAGAGCAGGGGTGCCCAACATGTTTTCCTTAGCAAGCTAAAATTAAAGTGGAACAATGGCCAAACCTACAGATAGTTTGCACATAAACGTGTTCTTCTGCAAAGAAATGTATGATATAATTAACTTCAAATATTAGTAAATAGACAGAATTGGCCTTCTTCCCATCTCCGGACAGTCTTTTCAATACAAAACTAAATGAGAATAGATTCTCAGAGCACTCTCGTGGGCCAAATTAGAGGGTGGGGCACCGCTGGCACAGACGTCCTTTGCACTGTATCTTGTGGTCATTTGTCACAACAACTTGTGTCATTTGGCATTTTCAAAAATAATTCATGTTTAATGTTGTACAGATGCGCTCTCATTTTCTCTGGCCTCAGGAGTGTTTTGTGAACCTCTGTGTCTAAATTCTTTGTCTTACAGTATTATCAGTAGTAAATCTGTGCATTACTACAAAGAAGAGTTATCATGACATAATGCCATTACTTGAGGACAATGCTTTTGGTTATGTTATACATGATCATTTGAAGGAGTAGTTCACTATCCTATTCTCTTTTCTATTCACGCCCACAATCCAGAGATACACATTTGCTCTCACAGCAAGTCCACAGGTTCAACATATTTCATACAACACAACACTTACCTAACCTATTTGCAGGGTTTCTTTTGAACAGCATTCTTAACAAACTCTGGGCCTCTAAACTGAGGAACTGGGGCATTCCCAACTTAGCCCTGAAACAGAAAGAGAGAAAAAAGCTGCACTGGTTAATGCCCACCTCCACCTCCTACTCCTCCACCTTCTCTTCCTCCGCCTCCTCTTCCTTCTCCTGCTACTGCTACTGCTTTACTGGTGTAATATTAATGTATTCAGTGTAAAATGACTCACTTGAGAATCATGTTCATCGTCTCATTGCGGTCTTTCCCTTGGAATGGTAATGTCCCCGTTAACATCTCAAACTGCCAAGACACAGCGTAAAAAAACAAGGTAAGGACAATTCCCTCAACCACAAAGCACAATACAAGAAATATTATTATAACAAATATATATATATAGCTAACAGGTAAAATGAATGAAAATTGTCATCTTTTTTGCATCTAGCTCTTTAAAAGCAGGATATATAAAGACTCAACTGATTGTTTTATCCTAGTCGAAGGGCCCACGTTACATTATTTTTTGATCCAAGTTATGTTTCCTCCTCAAAAACATACCTGGAGTTTTGTTTTGTTTCATTGGTAAATGGTAAATGGTCACATTTTTCTATAGCGCTTTTCCACCTTCAAGGCACTCAAAGCGCTTTACAACAAGGAACCACTCACCCATTCACACACCAGTGTACGCAGACACTGTGGGCAAGGTGGGTTAAGTGTCTTGCCCAAGGACACAACGGCAGCATTCATCTGTGGGAGCTGGAATCACACCAGCCAACCTGTGGGTCAGTGGATCTAACTGCTCAACCTGTGATGTTTATGTCGAGAGCTGGATTCGAACCGCCAACCTTTAGATCAGTGGGCGAATGCTCTACCAATGGCTACTGCCATTCACACATGTTTAACACACAAATCCTGTTGATGCCATATGGTAATACAGGAAGTGCCCCACTGTGTTTTAAACTCCATTAGAATCATTTGAATAATTTCAGCCGAGAATATTCCATCTCTACTAAACTAAAAGTAAACGGTAATGGTTAACTTGAAAACTACCGCTTCACGACATCATGCGGTGGAAAAGAATATCTTGATCTTGGGAGATGTAAAGACTAATAATAAAAGGGTTACTAAACTATGTGTGAATAAAACAAAACTCAACTCCAGGTATGTTTTTGAGGAAAAACGTTATAACATGGCTTAAAGCTCACATGAGACGGTCTATATCCAATCATGTAGGAGTAAAAGCAAGTCTCAGTTAAAAGACCCCAACTGATTACTGGAGATCTGAGATTTGAATTCATTACACGTCTTCTCTCTTTAAACAATTATTTTCACAGGGATATCCGTCAAATGAAGTGATTACAACATAAGTGACTGAAGTTATAGATATATTTCAGGCTGCAGTCTTCTAAATTTCCAATAAACCAATACAAACTAGATGAGTCATATGTTGTTTTTACCATCAGTACTCCCAGTGACCACCAGTCTGCGCTCTGTGTGTGACCTCTCCTGTTGACCACCTCAGGGGCCATATACTCCACAGTACCACAGAAAGAATAGGCCTTCTTATCAGCATCCACTGACTCTTTACTCAAACCAAAGTCTGCACACAGAAAGAGGAAAACATCAGCTTATTCACTGTTTTAAATGCGTTATAATGTAATACTCCACACACATACCTGTTAATTTTATATGTCCAGCTTCATCAAGTAAGATGCTGAAAAATCAAGAAGACACAAAGGAGAGTTAAACAAATCTGTGTGTTGTAAAGGATATAGTAGAATGTAGTAGTATAGTAGAATGACCACATGGGTATGCAACCATTTTCCTCATTAATTAGAATCCATAGGTTTTAAGCAAATAAATTCTTTTTTTTTCTCTGTACTGTGTATTGGCTATAAAATTGGAGGACTGCTGCCATAGCTTGAAAATCATACATCAATTCTCAAACTGTAATATAAATGCATACGTCAGATAAAGCAACACAGTATAAAGACTACGGATTGAGTCATGTAATATATATTGTGATTTACATGTGTGTGTGTGATGAGTAACAATGTTCAGTCCAATATCTACGGAACATCAATTAATAAGAACAATCTGAGAATTTAGAGAAATTGTCCATGACTTCGTGCAAAGTCCAGAGAGAATCAGAAAACGTTGCTTACTTAAAAAAGAAATTTATGCAAGTCAAAGGAAGGACAAATTGAGACAGTGGGGACTCAAGTTCTTTTTGAGAAACAACAAAATCATTAATTTATTTGCCAATAAAGTTAGTGTAGCCTCACAGTCTCCCCAAAAACATAGAAATCCTAAACTTTATCGGGTGCACTACTTGTGTTTTTCCTTTCGGTTGCCTTTGTGCCATAAGGATGATTCTAATAGTAATAATATAATACATATTTAATATTTAGTTTCAGTTTAATGCAGCAAAAAACTGGAACAGTCTTCCTGAACAGGAGAGACAGGCCTCTCCTTTGTCAATGTTTAAATCCAGGCTAAAAATAGTAATGTTCAGCTTTATTTGTTTGTATTGTATTGTATATGATTTTAATGTTTTTTTTTTTTGTTTGTTTGTTTGTTTTGTTTGTTTGTTTCTTTTCTGTAAAGCACTTTGTCTATGAATTGTGTTATACAGATAAACTTGCCTTGCCTTAACCACAAAGTAATTCGAAGTTTAAATATGAAAAGAAACATAGAGTAATATTTCTTATCTTACATTTTATCAGGAGGTTTGAGATTCATAGTGATATCAGATGTAAGAGCCCACTGACAGGAAACTTAAAGATGATGTTTTTTTATCAATGTAAAAGGAAAACATTTCATACTTCTCTGGCTTGAGGTCTCTGTAAACTATGCCCAGATTGTGCAGGTGGTCGAGGGCCAGGGCCAGCTCTGCAAGGTAGAATTTCACATCTTCTTCTGTAAACATAACCTGATAAAAACTGGACAATTTTACTCTCTGAACTCCAAACAAGAGAAATACACAAGAAAAATACACACAAATAATACAATTTTATCGATCACTTAAAGGGCCCATATTATGCTATTTTCTGATCCATGTTATAATGTTGTTTCCTCATTCTCATCTTTGTTTTCGGATTTTGCCTGGATATCGTCCAAGTTAAAAGCAACTGTAAGGACTTTGGGGTCATTTTTGATAACAATTTAAGTTTGACAAACAGAGGGACAGTGTGGTGATAGCAAGTTTTCATTAACTACTTTAAATTGGACTGACCTCAAAAAGACTGCTCACACTTCTATGAACTCAAGAATAGACTACTGTAACACACTTTATGCGGGTGTGTCCCAGTCCGCCCTCAGATGCAGCAGCACGTTTTTAGCCAAGACTCCCAGACGTCAGCCCATCACCCCAGTTATTTTATCACTCCACTGGCTTCCAGTTTCTTTTAGAATTGATTTTAAAACTTCGTTCGGCTGAATTCCTGTCTGTCCACAGTTCAAAACAGGGCCTCAAAGTCAAGCAACCATCTTTTACTGGAAGTCCCCAGAGCCAGACTAAAACACTGGGGTGATCGGGCTTTCTCTGACACTGGCCCCAAACTCTGGAATAAACTTCCCTTGATATGCGAATCATCACAGACTTTGGCCTGTTTAAATCCAGCCTCAAAATGTATCCTTTCAGACTGGCTTTTAACACTCGGTAATGTAATTACACTTTACAAAATTTGTTTTGTCATTGTTTAACATTTTGCATGGTTTCCTTTTGTGTTGATTTTAATCTGAAGCACTTTGATCACCTTGAGTGTTATAAAGAGCTGATTGATTAATTGACTGATCACAAATATACCTGGAGGTGTATTTTGTTTCATTCACACATGTTTAACACACAAACTCTGAATAGTTCTTCTCTCAAACCGAAAACACTCTACAGTCCCTGACAAAAGTCTTGTCGCTTATCCATTTTGTAGAAACAAAAGCTTATAACTTGACTTTAAATTAATCGATTGGTTTTAGAAATGTCTCATATGAAAGCTAAAACCTTCCCAAATTATGCTCAATATACTAAAATAAATTTGCTTCACTGAAGAAAGATTGATCATTTAATGAACACAGAAAGGTCAGATTTTGGCAAGACAAAAATCTTGTCGTCTTGTCATATGATGCACCCAATCCTAGATTACAGCCTCACCTGTGATCAGTTACTGATCAATCAATTAGTGGGTGTGTATAAAAAGAACCCCAGCACATCAGACCTTCACATCAACTGCAACTTGACCTCTGACAACATGCCTAAGATCCACCCTGAGACCAAAGCGTTAATTATCAAGAGGCTGAAGACCAGATCCACTGCTGAGGTGGTGACACCTTCAATGTGTCTCAGCGTCAAGTACAAAGAATAAGAAAAAGATCTGAAATGACTGGAGATGTTTTTGACAAGCCCAGGTCCGGCAGACCCCGCAAGACAACTGCTCGGGAGGACCGTTTGTTGATTCGAAAATCCAAGGCCAGCCCCTTTTCCACTGCAGCAGACTCCACCAGGCCTGGTCACCTCAAGTCCCTGTGACAACCACAACAGTTTGTAGAATTCTGTCTCGAAATGGCCTCCATGGTCGAACCAGTGCACAGAAACCAGCACTAAACAAAAGGCAATTAAAAAACCGTGTGGTATTTGCCAAGGCCCACAGCCTGCTAAAAGGATGGACACTGGAAAAGTGGCAGAAGGTGGATTTCTCAGATGAATCCTGGGTTGAATTACATCACAGTCGCCGCAAATATTGCAGGAGACCTACTGGAGCCTGCATGGATCCAAGGTTCACCCAGAAAACAGTTAAGTTTGGTGGTGGAAAAATCATGGTCTGGGGTTACATCCAGTATGGGGGTGTGCGAGACATTTGCAGGGTGGAAGGCAATATCAATAGCCTAAAATATCAAGAAGTATTAGCTCCTCTTACATTCCCAACCATAAAAGGGGTCAAATTTTGCAGCAGTATGGTGCTTCATCGCATACTTCTATCTCTACATCAAAGTTTCTCAAGGCGAAGAAGATCAAGGTGGTCCAGGACTGGCCAGCCCAGTCACCAGACATGAACATCATTGAGCATGTCTGGGGTAGAATGAAAGAGGAAGCATGGAAGGCAAAACCAAAGAATCTTGATGAACTCTGGGAGGCATGTAAGACGCTTTCTTTGCTATTCCTGATGACTTCATCAAGAAATTGAATAAATCATTGTCGAACCGCATGGATGCGTCCTTCAAGCTCATGGAAGTCATACAAGATATTAAATATGGATCTCACAGCACCACTACTTCATTCACTGACGTTATGCAACATATTTTTGTATTTGAAGTAAATTATTTGTTCAATTTTCTGTAGGCGACAAAACTTTTGTCTTGCCAAAATCTGACCTTTCTGTGTTCGTTAAATGATCAATCTTTCTTCAGTGAAGCAAATTTATTTTAGTATATTGAGCATAATTTGGGAGGGTTTTAGCTTTCATATGGGACATTTCTAAAACCAATCGATTAATTTAAAATCAGGTTATAAGCTTTTGTTTCTACAAAATGGATAAGCGACAAGACTTTTGTCAGGGACTGTATTCTACCTTGTAATGTGACTACTGCTTCATGACACGACCTCACAAGGTGGGACAGAGGATTTTCAGCTTTAGTGATGTAGACAAACTAATAATAAGGGATTACTCAAACATGTCTGAATGAAAGAAAACACAACTCTGGATATATTTTTGATAAAGTAACAGCATTATAACACAGCTAAAAGCTCAGTCAATGTTGTGTAATATAGGACCTTTAAAGAGAAAACAGAGGATTAGCTTTGTCACAACATTTCAAAAACATTTTCACAACTCAAAGATGTTGACTTGACATTGCCAGCAGCGGTTGCTTTGGTTGTGAGGCAAGTCTTCAACAAGAGGTCTGTCTGCAGAACAATCACACATTGTTCTGGCTCCCAAGAGCATTAAGGGGATTCATCTAGGCCTGTATCTGACAAGCTACTGTTGATAGAAAAACTGGGAATAAAAAGAGATTTCAATAAAATAAATAAATAAATAAATACTAAAGGGAATGAAGGTAACGACTGATTTGACTGATTTGACAGTACGAATTTCTTTAAAAATAAGATGTCAGTTTGCATGTTTACTTGTAGCTGTACCTTTAAAATATATATCTGTGCTTTTCCTTATTGAAAGTACTAGTCAAAACAAGAGTAAGAATTAACCAATACACTTAACCAATACTATGACTAAATCTGGACTACTCCAATAACATGATTTAACCACATAAAAAGATCTAAATTTCACTATTATATTGAACCCTAAATGTTACTAGCAGATAGCCAGATCTCTATATTCAATCAAAAATCAATAAAAATCCTGGAACTCAAAGCATTATTTTGTTTTTAAGAAATAATTCATCCAAAATATGCAATAATAAAGACAGATTAACTGTGGGATTAACCGGGATGTTTAGTTAGGAGCACTATGTAACTGTTGTAGTGGAGGTAATGCCACATGAAACTGAACTGAACCTGACTGTGCCAAGTCCACCACAGACTGTATACAGAGATGCAATTTGTTTGCTTCAAACGATCCACAGTATGGCATTTATCTCCAAGAAGATAAGCAGCTGGCATCACTGAAGAAAATAATAGGTCAGATATGTTGGAAAAGATAGATTAGTATAATGTATACACTGGAGCTTTTGAGGCAACGCAATTACATCTCTGTGGACACAAGACAAGTAGCGCCTACATGGACTACCACCACCAAAAAGATATATAGGGCACCTTTAAAAAGTCCTATATTACACAAAATTGACTCTTGTGAGCTTTGAGGCATGCTAGAATGTTGTTACTTCATCCAAAACATACCTGGAGTTGTGTTTTGTTTCATTCACACATTTCAGTAATCCTGTATTGTTAGTCTGTCTGTTTCTCCAAAGCTCAAAATGCTCAGTTCTACCTTATTATGTCATGTAGTGGTAGTTTTCAAGTTAAAGTAAATGCTGAACAATTACCTTTTGTTCAGTAGAGATTGGAAATTCCAGGTCTGAAATTATCCAAATGATTCTAGTGAATATTTATGGAGTGTAAAAACACAGTGGAACATTTCTTGTTTGTCCACAAGACATCAGAAGGTGGAGCATTTTCAGTTTGAGAGAAGAACTCAACCTAAATATACAGGGTTTGTGTGTTAAACATGTGTGAATGAAACAAAAAACAACTCCATCTAGGTTTTTCATAAGGAAAAACCATTATAAGATAGATCAGAAAATAACGTAATATGGGACCTTTAAATAATAAGTAGGTGGAGTAGGTAGGAGTAGGTAAGTGGGTGGAAAAGTAGTTACTATTACCGTATTTTTCGGACTATAAAGACTATAAATGTTTTTTTCATGGTTTGGGTGGCCTTGCGATTTATACTCCAGTACGACTTATATCTTAAAATTTTCCCACTGACACCTGCGAGAGGGCGCTCTAGACTTGTGCGACAGTATCTGCTTCTTCTGTACCACTGTCACTTCGCACCCTACAGCGCATGTCTCTTGCAGAAAAAGCTGCTGTCCTGCTGCAATAGGTGAAATATTCACCTGAAAATGGTAATCAAGTAACAGAAAGAGTTTGGAGTGAGAGAGAAACTTGTGATGGACAGGTAGAAAGCGGGGATGGAGAACACAGATTCACAATAACCAGGAGGGTGCACCATGCAACCTTCCTGGAAGTCACTGAATGGATCGACAAAGTCTGGACTTCAGTGACAACCGAAACCATCCTGTTGGGATATAGAAAGGCTGGAATAATTTTAACTGAAACTGATGCTGAGTCTGACAACAGCTATGCAGAAGAGGAAGCAGCACTCTGTTTACCTCATGGATCTATGGTTTACCTTCCAGAGGTCACGAAGTTGCTCAGAAATGACACTGAGGATGAAGAATTCAATGAATAAACTTGTTATGTTGTTTATGCTACAGTTATACAGAATAAGTGTTCATATGCTACGTTAACATATCAGACGCCTATTCAGCCTGTTGATCTCTGTTCTATGGTTATTACTATAACTTGCCTTTCAAGATGAAATGTCGGTTCCTGGTCTCTGATTTTATAAAATAAATTTCCCCCAAAAAGTGTGACCTATAGTCCGGTGCAAATTATATATGTTATTTTCTTCTTCATTACGCATTTTTTGACTGGTGCAACTTATACTCCGGAGCGACCTATAGTCCAAAAAATACGGCAATAATATCTTGGCAGTCACTTTACACCTGTGTTGTTTTGTGTTTTGTTATTTGTAGCTGTCAGATACGCAGGTCCAGAGGGCTCAGTTTAAACTGCGAGGTGTATGCAGAGTCTACACACATGAGGTTTAAAACATAATGAAAACAGCAGTACACAGTGTTAGAAACAGAAGGTCCTCTTACCTCTTTGGATAAACGAGTGAATACATCCCCTCCCCTGAGAAAGTCCAGTATTAGATATAGTTTCCCTTCGGTCTGAAAGGCTGTGGAGAAAAACAGAGGAAGGATCTGAGCTGAGAACTAATATTATTATGATTGAGTGGTGGGACTTTTATGGCGAGATTAAAAGCAGACGCATGTAGGTCAATAGTGTTTACAGGCTAAACAAATTACAGCTGTCAAACACTCCATGCAATTTTTACATAATGGCTCAGAGTGCTTTTGGGGAAACCCGGATTCAGCACAAAACATGGTGTAAAAATAAAGTCAATAGACCCTTTTATGTTGCCTCCTGTTATGCTAAAGGGGATTTCTTTGATTAATATTTCTGCCTGGTCCAAGTGAGCTGTAATAAAGCAACTAGAGTGACATTTTGTACCTCATGAATCTTGTTTTATTAAAAGGTCTGTATTCAATTTTGAAACTTGAAAAGACTTTGCAATGCTTTTTTGCTTAGACTACTACCTCTGCTACACTTTTTAATGTCTGTTTTAATAATTTTTAAAGTACTATTTATGATTGACAAGTGGATTAACCTATTAGAGATACATATAGTCTAATTGCGTCAAAAACAAACATGGTTGTTTACATGTAAAAAAGGGGAATAAACAACAAACAACTGAGACAAAGGGTGCACTCTTACTAGCCCAACCAAACCGTGCCCAAGCACAGCTAGCCCCTATAGCATGGTATGTTTGTCCAGTGTGGGTGAAATCGAACTGTGCCCAAGCATGACATGGTTGGAGGAGGTAGGCCAAAGCAAGGCCTAATTGCTTGTGTACACGCATACAGACACGACTTGACTATACAAGCCCTGTGTGTGTGCTCCTGTTACTCATACGAGAAGAACAGTGAACAAACTCTGCTCAAAAACAGGGCAAATTCGCACTTACCTTCAATAAGGACAAAAGTTTCTCTCTTCACTGCACTGATAATATATCCATAAACTCACAGAGGAGTGTGCATCATAAGAGGATGCATATCTGCCTCACTATACAATAGATATTTCATGGCACTGGACTTTCTCCACTCAAGTCATAGCACTACTACTGCAGGCCATAGAATCCCAGGCAATCGTGCTTGAGCATGGCATGGTTCTAAAGTCCTAGTTTGAGTGCACTCTGAGAAAAAGCATACATTTTTTGCAGAATCAACAATTGAAGCACCAAACTGTAATTTATCTCAGGTAAATTAAGTTATATATTTTGTTCTAAACTATAAAAGAATTCTCAAGAGGAGATGTCTTCTGCATTTGAGAAACACGAGTTTGGATGGAGGATTTTCACCCTCTATGGTTTGGTTCCAGTCCCTTCTAGATTCAAACAGAATGAAGAAGGGACAGGCTGGTCAGGCAGTGCAAATGGCTTTTACAAGATACAGTTTGGAGTAAAACACATTTTCCTGAACTAAAAGAAAATGAAGTCAGATGGCGTGTTAAGTGAAAAAGTGGTGCAAAATAATGTTTAAAAAAATACATTTACAAACTTTACTGGGAATGTAAACACTTCCTTAACTGTATGCTTAAACACTGCCAATATGCCATAAATTTCCCTTTATGCTTAGCTGTCCATTTTATGCTCAAGCTGCCTGTGTTACTAGCTCCCATTACACCCATTAAAACACAAACTACAATCATAATGGCTTGTAGTGAGTCACAAGACATATCCGGTCATAAAAACTCTAGTAAAACCAAACACTACTTCATATAGTGGTTCTATATTTTACAAATAATTTACAAGTAATTTAAATACTTAAATACTTGTTTCTTGTGTATTACTTGTAGCCTTGCAACTAGCCCTAATAAGGTGAAAGAGAAATGCCATGAACTTCATAAAATCACAAAGGGCATACTTCAAACAGAGACAATGGATTTGCAATGCATCTTAACAACATAGAGTAACATGTGCCACTATATATCATCTTAAAGGTGCACTATGTAACTTTTCTGGTGAAGGGTCTGCCTACATTTTTGTCTCCACGAAACTTATTAATAAACTATCTTCATGGAAACAAGCAGGAGACCACCAGACCAGGAGACCACCAATACCGGTCAGATCTGTGTAGAGGATGACCCGCTTACTGTAGGTGTGAAAGATCTTTGAGCAATAAAAATACCCATTATTGAATCAATGAAAGATGGATAAGTTTGATGCCAGATGGTGAAACTCCACCCAACTCCATGGAGATAAGAATGTGGCGGACCCTAAAGCCAAAAAGTTAGACAATGCACCTTTAACTCTGACCTATTGGATTTGTCTGAAACTGCGTCTGCTACTATAACTACCACTGGTTTACTGTAAGGTCTAAAGGGCTCTTCAAAGTGTGGTTGAGTTCATATAGCTCTCCAGGCCAGCATTAGACATTCTAGTTGTACATTAAAAAAATTTACCATTTAAGTATTTAAAGGTGCAATATGTAACTGTTCTGGTGGAGGGCCAGTCAAATGCTTTTCTCTCTTTCTATCTTCTATCTATGGAGATCAAACCAGACCAAGTTACAGGTCAGATCTGTGAAGAGGTGACCCCACTCACAGTCAGAATGCCTGACTTTTTTTAGCTATAAAACCACCTGTAATTGACTAAATGTAACATAGAACTTTTTAATGTCACACTATGGAACATACCTAGCAGAGCAATGACACATCCATAAAAACAAGCAGGTGACGGACCCCCAACCAAAAATGTACATAGTGCACCTTTTAACATTAACAATGCATTTTTCATTCACCCACACTAGCTGGTGGTCATTTGTAATAGCCAGCTGAGACTGACTGACGGAAATGTTGCTGCCAGTCTATGCCAATTGCCTCTCCAACTCATTCAAGCGAGGTGAGTGTATTGTTCAAGGACGCAACAACGGCATGTATTGGTCAAAACTGTGACTGAATTAGCACTTTAACGATTTTAATGTCCAAAATCCAAGCAACAATAATTAGTAAGTACTGGATGTCTGACAAACTATAGGTTGTATAGTATTGTTTGTTTTTGTCTTACCGTAGTGCAACTTCACGATGAAGGGATGATTGACTTCCACTAAAATGTCTCTTTCCATTTTAGTGCGAACTCTATCCCTGACTATGGAGATAAGCACAAGAATGTTAAACAAAAAGCCCCACAGTAGAATATGAAGCCACAACAAAGCTGTGTTACCTTTCAATGATGCCTTTTTTAAAACTTTCATTGCATATAATTGACCAGCATCTGGACCTATAATCTTCCGGACAAGAAACACCTGTAGAAGAAAGGAGATATCAATACCAGCATTTAAGAAGATAGAACAGTTTGATTTAGAAAGTGCTTTCCTCACCTTGCCAAATGAACCCTGGCCAAGCACTTTAAGAAGTTCAAACTGAGATGGATCAGCCTTTTCACAGCCCTCTTTCACATGATGGGTGATAGGAATCTCCTTATAAGCACCTTCATCCTACACAAACCATAGGAGACACAACAACCACATTCAAATATGTTCAGTACATGTAAGCCTGTCACGATAATTATTATATCAAATTCAAGATATTAAAGCAGTCCAGAAAAACATACTGTAATTTGGGGCTCAGTATTTATCATGTGTACAATTTCTTTGCAATAGTGTGGAGATTTTTGCCATTTTTATTTAATGAGATAAAATCTATTGAAATATCCATGTTGTATTAATTTTGTAGATGAAAGTCCACCAACATGCTGTAGTTGGAGATAAGGGTAGGCACAATAAGCTTTAGTTTCTGCCTACACCTGGTCAATGACTTACTTAGTGTTTGATTTGATTGTTAAGTCTACATACTGAATGTTTTGTTTTACTGGCATCAACTGAATAGACTGTAAGTAGATTGTAATGAGTTATACATTGGCTTAATAAAAGTACATGAAATGAAAATTATTCTACCTTCAGCAGTTCAAGATTAAGTTATTTGTTGCAACTCAGACCTTTTAATGATACAGTCTATTTGAAAACTGGTTTACTGAAATGATTTTACTTGTATTGCTTAATGGCAGGAAGTAGTTTCAATATTATCATTTATCGCAATATTTCTCTAACAATATATCACGCTTCAATATGTGTTATTGTGGCAGGCCTAGTAGAGGTGGGTAGTTACAGTTACCATACTGGCTCATGCTCCCAATAGCAGGGTGTATAAGTAAAGTAATATATATTCTAGTAATTAGCTGATAATAAAATATAGATGATAAGATAAATATTCAAAAGATAAAACTGGTTTTCTGTCACGTCAAAATCATAACTCATTGTCTCATAAGGTTTGGTACATGCAAAGGTCGATAGGCAGTTACTGAATTCTAATAGAGTAACTTTGTGAAGAAATTTTACTTCGTGTAGGTACATTGCACCATAATTAAAGGTGCACTGCGTAACTTTACTGGTAGAGTGTCCACCACTTGTTTGTCTCTAAGGAGATGTTATCGCTTTGAGCTGGGGATGTTCTAATAAACGTATGTATCTCCATGAAGACATCACCAGGCCAAGTTACAGGTGACATCTGTGTAGAGGAAACCCCAGTTACAGTAAGAATTTATGTTTTCAAGGTATTGTTTCAAGTTAAAGTCCTGTAATGAATAACTTGTCATAAATGCTAAATAGATGTTTGATGCTATACTGTGCAACATTTTAGACAAAGCAAATACATCTCCATGGAGACAAGCAGGTGACAGTTAAACAAGAACAGTTACACAAGTGCACCTTTAATTAAGTGTACTGTTATTTCAACAAATGCAAGTCAATGTTTTTTTGTGAGACTTGTTCATGGAGGGAAGAGTAAAAGTGATAAAAGCATTGTGTTGATATCTTTGTGTTGGTATCAATCTTTTTGAACAGTGTTTCAAAGATGGTAGGTAGGGTGTTACGTCTCTTATTTTAATGGTCTATTTGGAAACACTTGAATTTGTGCAGTATTTAACATTGTGTTTGTGAAATTACATCGACTGAAAAATCAAATCAAAAATAAGATGTTAAGTATATATAGTTGCCAAATATAACCTTACTTTTACATGGATAATTATTTTATAACAGTACTTTTTATTACAAACTGTTATTCTATGTAACTATTTAAGTAGCAATACTGTTACTAACTTCATTTTTGGCTACTCTCCCCATCACAGAGTAATAAATACTATTCTGACTTGACAGACATCTGCTTAACAAAGTAATCTTGACTTACACAGTGCGTGAAAGACTCTCCCTCCTCCATGGGCTCGTCCATGATCTGATGTCCATTGACCTGTGTGCAGACGCAGAGCCAGAATTTAGTTTCAGTTTAATCCCAACATTAAGTGAGTAAACATTCTCCAGCAAAAGCGAGATTCTCCACTAACGGAGCCCTGTGCTCTCAGCTGTCACACGCCCACATGTATGATACAAGCAAATCAACAGATGAATTAGATGAGTCACCAGTACAAAAAACAAGGCGCCTTCTTCACTGCTCCCTACGATTCTCACTCTTATTTGTTGTCAAACAGTATGTAGTCTATAGTTAAAGCCACGTCCAGCTGTCCGGCGCTCATCTCGTCCCTATAAAGCCCCTCACTATTAGCATTCTAGCTTAATCCCTGGGCAGAGCAAAAACAACATGTCTGACTGGCTGTGGGTGAAGAGCTGCAGTCAGCATTCAATCTCATGAGAAATAACTCCAGCTTGGTCCTTCAGCAATTCTGCGTCCTATTGGTCTCAGAGTGCTGTTTACACAGAAATTGGCAAATGCTTCTTTCAAGTTACTTTGACTCTGACACATTCATAGCTTGATTTTTAAGCATCTCTGTACTTATATTATCATTTCAAAAGATTTAGAGACCCCAGGGAGCACTTCTAAGTATTCAAAGTCGGTAATATAGTTACACCTCA